CCATGGGGCTGCCGCGCTGCCTGCTTGCTCTGCGCGGCGCGGCCCGGGGGCAGGTGAGACGCCGGAGGGAGGCAGGGAGGGAGGGAGGAGGCTGCAGCCGTGTCCCGCGTGTGCGAGGGCGGGCGCCTGAGCCCACTCGGGCACGGCCCCTCCCCCGCCCGCAGCCCTGCTCCCCGGGTTTGCTGCCGCCTCTCGGCGGGAACTGTCGGCCCGGGCGTCCGCCTCGCTCCCGTGTTGCTGGGACGTGTCAGCGTCCTGTTGCCTCACCGCCTCCCTCCTGCATTATCCCGAGCATCGACTCATCGATCACGGCTGACGTTATAAGTCCGCTGTTATTCCTTGTTAATAACTAATTAAATATTATTATTCGCGAATAATAATGCTGCATTAACAAGGATTATTCGCGAGTCATTTTTCGCTATTATTGTGTTCCTGTAATTGTTATGAATAATTTATTAACACTCTTCCTTCTTAGTGTGCTTTATTATTTGTTAATCAGTATTTGTAATTATTAATTTGTTAATGCCATTATTATGGGTGATTTATTGCTATCTTCATTATTCATTTGCTTCATTGTTTGTTAAGCGGTATTCATCATTATTAAATTCTTAATGTAGTTATTATGAATAACTTATTATCGCTTTCTTCATTATTAGTTTGCTTCATTATTTGTTAATCAGTATTCATAGACTGTAAGGCTGGAAGGGCCCCCGGAAGATCATTGGGTCCAATTTGTTATTATTAGTTTGTTAATGTCATTATTATGAATACTTTATCGCTGTATTCATCATTAGTTTGCTTCATTATTTATTAATCAGTATTCATAGAGTAGAAGGCTGGAAGGGGCCTCGAAAGATCATTGGGTCCAATTCATTATTATTAATTTGTTAATGTTATTATGAACACTTTATCGCTATCTTCATTATTAGTTTGCTTCATTATTTATTAATCAGTATTTGTTATTCATTTTTTTAATCTTGCTATTATGAATACCTTATCACTATCTTCATTATTAGTTTGCTTCGATATTCATTAATCATAACTCATTATTAATTTGTTAATGTCCGTTGTTATAACAGATTTCTTATCGCTGTCATCATTACTAGGTTGCTTATCATGAAAATTGATGTGAATCATCATTGTCATGAATATGTTAGTAGCACCATTATTGATTGTCAGAATGATTCATTATTTATCATCATTATTATGATTGGTTGATCATGCTTATTACTAATTTATTATTATTATTATTATGATGCCAGGCAACCCCCGCAGACAGGGTGCCACCAACCCTCCCGAGGGCTCCGTCTGGGTGGAGCCCTCAGAGGAGCCCTGAATGGGAGGCATCACTGGGGCAGGGTCCCTGGCTGCGTGCCGTGTCCTTACCATGATTGAAGATTGAAGGCTCCTCCTCTTCCACTCTGACTTACCTTTTGCACCAATCCTACCCATGAAGTGGCCTTCAAACTGCCTCCCCTGTTGGCAGTCCCTGTTTGCTAGCTCCCTGGTTAGAGGCTCCTCCTAACCTAATTTTCCCCTGCCACACAGCTTGAGGCTGTTGCTCCTAGTCCTGTCCCCTGTAGCCACAAAGAAAAGCCTATCTCCATTCAGGTATCTGAAGACTGTTATTAAATCCCCTCTTAGTCTTCTTCTCTTCTCCGAGCTAAGTAACCCTAGTTCTTGCAGCCATTCTTCATAAATGTTGGCTCCCAGGCCCCTGCGCTGGGCTCTTTCTAAATTGTTAACATCCTTCTGGAATTGTAGGGCCCAAAACTGGATGCAGTACTCCAGGTGAGGCTTCACTAGTGCTGAAGAGAGCAGAAGAATCACTTTTCTTGATTGGCCAGTGACACTCCTGCTAATACAATCTAGTATGCTGCTCATATTCAGCTTTTGGTTCATTGTAACCCCCAAGTCCTTTTCTGCAGTACTGCAGCTTACTCCTTCCCCAGCCTGTATTTGTACATGCTGTTATTCTATCCTGAGTGCAAGACTTTGCACTTGTCTTTGTTGAATCTTATCTGATTGATCGCTGACCATTTCTCCAGTCTGTCCAGGTCATTCCAGATCCTAGCTCTACCCTCCAGAGTGTCTGCTGTTCCACCCAACTTGGTGTCATTTGCAAGTTGGCTGAGCGTGCACTCAGTGACGTCATCCAAATCATTAATGAAGATATTAAGTAATACCAGACTTAGCACAGACCCTTGGGGAACCCCGCTTGATGCCTCCTCCCAACTGGACATTGAGCTATTAAAAACTACTTGTTGAATAAGATGATCCAACCAGTTATGTATCCACCTTACTGTCTTTTCATTTAGTCCAGGGGTCAGCAACGGTTTTGGGCAGAGTTCCAAAAACACCTGCAACCTTGGCTCGTAAAATGTTGGTGTGCCGGGATGGATGTTGTGAGGGATCTGATCTTTGTTGTGGCAACGCAGCCCTGGCCCCTTCCCTGCTGTCTGCCCTGAGGCACACGCGCCAAGCAAAATGCCTTCACCACACTTTGGCATCTGTGCCAGGGGTTGCCTACCTCTGATTTAGTCTGTATTTTCTTACCTTGCTAATAAGAAAGCTGTGGGAGATAGTGTCAAAATCCTGGCTGAATTGAAGGTATACCTTATTCACTGTTCTACCCTCATTGACAGAGCCTGTCACTTTTTCAGAAAAAAAGCAGGTTGATCAGGCATGACTTGCTCTTGGTGAATCCACGGTAGCTGTTCCTGATCATTGTAAAGCACCTAGAGGAAAACAAGGTGGATTCCTTGAGGACCTGCTCCATGTGTCCAGGTATTGAGGTCTGGCTCACTGGTCTGTAGTCCCCTTGATCCTCCTTCCTTTTCTTAAAGATGAGGATTATATTTCCTCTATTCCAGTAATCAAGGACTTTACCTGACCTCCACAACTTCTCATCCTTCAGTACCCATGGGCGCGTCCCATCTGGCCCTGCTAACCTGTTCTGCCATTACTCTAGGTTGTTTGTCTCCTGTATCTCTGCTGCCAACTGCACTTGTCTGGTAGCTGCCACTGTTTTGTGAAAACGAGTAAAAAAGGCATTGAATACTTTATTGTCAGTAAATAGTTTTCCTTCTGCGTTTCGTGAGGGACCTACGGAATCTCTGGTCGTCTTTGCTTTCTACGTATGTGTAAAATCCCTTTTTATTGCCTTTTGTGCCCTTTGCCACCTGCATCTCAAACTGTGCCTTGGCCTAATTTTTTTTCTGCACATATATGCA